TCTATTGTAAAACTGACATTTTTCGGAGTTTTCGCCTTCGAGTATGCGAAGAAATCAAGTCAAATCTGGTATTTCAAGAACAAGCACACATCATAGAAGAATGAAGAACATTCGAATGTTGAAAGAAACTAAATCGCAGGTAAATAATTTGATATTTTCACCCACTGGTTTTGACCGTCGAAATATCACATCCGACCGAACGTAAGAACACAGCACTATACTCTGCAGATTACGAAGTAATTGTAATTTTTCAGTATAAAATAGTCACTTACTACCGTACTAAAATAATTACTTACGTTTTTGAGTGACTAGGAACATGATCGTAGTGTGCAGTGTAAATGTAATTGACATTTTTATGCCTGGGCTGGCAAATTTGTTTTAATAGACCAACTGGCCAAGGTGCCTTCCATGTAAACTACGCCGGAGATACGCCAACATATGCGATATTTCACGCCAATACATTGGAGATTTTAACTTTGGGGACCAAAATCCATGTTAAAATGGCTAACCTGGCATGTCAGTTTTATATACTGTTAACATCATATATTTCTTGAAGTTATACTCAGTGAATATACATACTGTTGACAATCAATTCAGGCACAAACTTACTGTAGTTACACTTATCATTTCTTTTTGAGTGATCTTACGCCAATACACCAGCAACTTTGTAACCTCACCCCGGATATATCTGGCCTGGAGTGAATGGAATGCGCACTCAGGCCATCTATTTCGGTTTGGAGGTTTCATGCAGGGTGGCTGAGTTGTAGGATGAAACCAAACAAACAGAAAGCCATGTCATTGATATTGTCTGATGTAGTGTACTGTATTTGTTTCAAATGTGAAACGAAATGTGTACAATGTATGTATATTGTGGCCAAAGCCCTGAAAATTGGTTTGAAAATATTCACTATAATTTTTGTATATCGTATTTCAGTTGTACTGAAGACTGTACAAATTCAACACAAGATTGTAAATGCTATGAAGCTTTGCCCATCAGTCATCAAGAGTACAACAGTCAATATACACCTGTAGTTGCTGTGTTAGTTTTATATATTACATTAAAGATCTTTATCAACTCGCGTTGTTGTCAATACCATCTGCATTTTTAATCTGCATTTCTAGCATTGCATTCGGAGATGAGACCTAAAGGTGTAATAGTGAAGGGAGTAGTAGGTTGATTTTTTTTAATTTTAGGCGCATATTATACTGTGAATATCCTTATAATTCGTACTACTATTCGTACTAAATTATATACCTGATCAGTGAAAGGGGATGTGATGTCTTTGTATTGGGCTTCTTTTCTTAAATAACAAAAAAGTTTTTGGACTAAACTAAGTAAACTGCGCGAGTAGAATCCATTTTCACCAGAACTGGTTTATAATTTGTAACTTTGATATTAAACTTTGATTGCTGGATAACAGTATTAATGAGTACGATATTTGTTCACATCTGTATCAAGCAATTGATGGTGGAGCCAGGGCCGTAGCGAGGGGGCATTGGGGGGGGTGGTTAACCCCCCAACTTTTGTAGAATTAACATATTCGGAAAATCGGGTTGGCCATTCGGAAAATTACGGCAATAATAGTATAACAAAATTTTAGTTGTTTAAACAGAGAAAATATTATAAAATGGTATTGTCAGTATAAACCATTGGTATAAACTGATTTACGAAATCACGGCATTTACATGGATAACGTAAAACAAATCGTAAATCAGTAAATGTTTTTCGGTTTATTATTTCTCAGGGCCGTGGCAGTCGGGGGGAGGGTGGGAGGGGGATGTGGGCAGCAGCCCTTACAATAATTTGCTGACTTAATCATTCTTTTTTCAAAATCATGCACACCTTTATCATTTAAATAATATACCTTTAAAGTACTGACAATAGACTAGAGGTGTGCATCGGATCGGATGTTTATAATCCGACAATTGCCTAATGTTTAAAATCCGATCTGATCCGAAATTGTCTAATCCTAATCCGTTCCGATCCGAGTTTTGAAAAAGAATTCCAATCCGATCCGATCCGAAGAATTCTTAAATAAAATAAATTTTTCATTCAAGTTGAAATATTTAACCAAATAAATATAAAAGCAAGAAATACATGTTAAGAAGCTTACAAAGTGACGTTCAATTGACTGATCAAACGAATAATGCAGATGATACTTTGATAAATGCATGGATAATTAATTCTTGCGATAATGCTGGATAATTAATTCATTTTATTTCGGATATCGAAGTCCGATCCGACTACGAAACAACTTTATATCAATCCGATCCGAAATGAATATTTTGGTTCCGAAGTCCGATCGGTTTCGGATCGGATTTTTTTTCGTCATTCGGAAATTTTTGGCCTACACCTCCCCCAACTATACATACTAGCTACGGTCCTGGGTGGAGCAGACTAACTTGCCAGAAGTTACAGTTCATGACCTAAAATTGCAACACACCAATCTCATGTAGATTTACTCAGCAAGCACCATGATCTTAATGATTTCACCTGTTTTCAATTACCATCAGCATTGTTAGGTTTACCATCTTAGAGATAAGAATATTGAAGGAGCGAGACTAATTAAGCTCCAAAATAATAAAATATTGCACATTCAAACTGTGAAGCTCAGTCTGGAATGCATTGGTCTTGTAAACCAGAAGTTGTGGGCTGCATTCTTACTGTGATCAAGTTGATTTTTCAGCTTGCCTGGTGTAGATTTACTCAGTGTAGCAACATCTTAGTAATTTCTCCTGTGTATGATTACCATCATTAGATTTAACACCAGCCTTGTATCTTACAGTTCAGTTCTTGTGTACTTTGGTGTAAAAGATTTTAAGCAATATAGCTTGTAGAAGTTACTGTTAAGTAAATGTTTTGGCAACACAGCATATTGTCCAGTGCACATGGTTAACGATGTGCTACATTCAAATGTTTTCTGTTCTTATTTTTAGTGTTGGAAAGTTCACGATTGGCAAATTTCAAGCTGTAGTAAAAGCACAACCTCAAAAACAATTTTTGTATCTTTCATAATGTAGTCCAGAAAGCAATTTGTTGGAACATGAAGACCTTCAAATGTGTTTTCTGTTTGATCAAAAGCCTTGAAGAAACAAAACTGCTTCCTGTTATCATCTAGGTCATTACATTGGATGGCATTTGTGCATGTAGGACAGTTGCGGATCTTAATAGATTTATGGATCTAAACTCAAATTTATGGAACTAAATTATGGATTTATGGAACTAAAATCAAATCAAAGTATTGTTTCCATTTTTGGGCTTCTACAACTTGTACACAGTAGAATACACTAGATGTTAAAGTTTCATTTACTTGGTCCCCTTTGTAAAAACAACACTACAACTTACATGCACCAACATCTGATTTGTTGCACGTTGAAACCAGTTTTATTGCCTGATATATTTTACTCTGCCAACAAGTCTTAATAACTATAAGGGGCTATTTACATGAGCCCGACTAGTCCCGTTAACCGAGGCACCCAGCTTAATACAAATCATTTAACAAGAATCTGCCTAGCCGAGATCTCACTTGAGTCAAAGGGGACGCCCGCATAACCGGGCTGAAATTTCCCCATGTTAATTCACCAGCTCAGGTAACCTGGCTAGCCAGGCCTTCAGCCTGGTTAACCGGGCCAGCCTGCATGGCTAGCCGGACTCATGTAAACAGCCCCTAAGGTGATAGCTGTAGTAACGTGCCGAAACAGAAGATAAACGAGCCCAGTGTAAGATACAAAATATATTGTCTAAACTAAATACAAGATGGCGGAACTCTCTTTTATACATGCCCCAATTAACATGCGTTGGGGTCATAGATATAGGAGATCTAGATTGCTAATGTATACCTAGCGCAGGCGGGGCCTACATGATAAATCCAAGATGGCGGTACAACAGGGCAAAAAGACTATAAATTCTATTACGAAAATCAGGATTTTTGCATTTTTTGCCGTCGCATTGTTTTGAAACTTATTCGGTCAAATTTTATGGTAAAGAGAAACTTACCGCGAAGATTTTGAGCATACATATGATTGAATTGGATGATGATTGAATTGGATGAAAACTCGCAAAATTATCCATCGATAAAAGTTCGTGTATAGTACTGATATAGTACAATATATGTAACTTGTACAGTTTTGCTTTAATTTTTGCTCACTATTTGCATAAAAAGCAAATTATAACAGACCATAGATGATAGACCCTCATCCAGTGCTCTCATCAGTTTACTTCTCTAACAAGCAAGGGGGGGGGGGTACATAACAGTTCATTTTTCATAATTATGAGGACAGAGCAGATGATGATGAGAGATGCAAGTATAAAACACCATTCACAAGGCTAGATGTTAACATAGCACAGTATTTCTGGCAATAAAACGCTCCAACTGACCATTTCACACGAACTTTTATCGCTGGATAATTTTGCGATTTTTCATCCAATTCAATCATATATATGCTCAAAATTTTTGCGGTAAGTTTCTCTTTACCATAAAGTTTGTCCGAATAAGTTTCAAAACAATGCGACGGCAAAAAATGCAAAAATCCTGATTTTCGTAATAGAATCTATAGTCTTTTTGCCCTGTTGTACCGCCATCTTGGATTTATCATGTAGGCCCCGCCTGCGCTAGGTATGCGTTAGCAATCTAGATCTCCTATATCTATGGTTGGGGTCGTCAATGCACAGGGGTACCGTACTCTACACCTTCCTCCAAGTATACAATTGTCATACTTCAACAACATTTTTATGTAACTAATTTGCTTACCCACTAGAGTTTAATGTTCCACTTTTTAAATAAACTATAATTTATAACATCCTAAGAAAGTCAATAATATACCTCACTAATTTAATTAAACTAAAGTCCTAAATTGTGAATGTTAATTATTCAATGTTCTACTTATCGTCATCCATCAGCTTCACAAGTCCAATCGCTGGGGAGGTCGGACAACTCTACCAGAACGGGTGGTGGTATACTGAGTGGATTGAGCCCCAGATGTCGGCGCAGCAGGAGGTACTATGGGTGGCGTATGTGGTGGCACAGGTTGCTGGGTTGGGGGGTATCAACAGTTTGTTCTGGACGGGTAGGTTCCGTTTCTTGACTCCCTTCGGTAATGGAGACTAAGGCAGATCGATTACGCCTAAGAATTCCCTTGTCAGTCTTCACAAGGTAGGATCTGGGATACTGGGTGGAAGAAAGGATCTCACCTTGCTTACTTTGATCCTTGACCCATACTGCATCTCCAGTGTCAAAGGTGGGCAGTTCTCTTGCCCTATGCCTACGGTTGAAATTGGTTTCTTGTGCTCTACGGTAGGACTTTTCCTTGGATACCACCCTCTCCAACTCAAAAGTAAGGTCCTTCGGTTTCAATGTATCTGGGAGAACGGGTAGCTGTGTCTTCAGTCGGCGACCCATAAGGAGCTGGCTTGGCGACAAACCATTTTGTAGGGGTGTCGAGTGATACGATAGAAGGGCAAGATAAGGGTCTTGGTTCTTCTTCAAAATCTCCTTTGCAGTACGCACTGCCCGCTCGGCTTCGCCATTCGCTTGAGGATATTAATAACGTAGTCAGACGTCTGACTGTGAAGTCTTTTAATCTCCAACCAACGAGAATAGTAGTCAACAACAAGAAGATAGATTTTCCCTTGAAAGTCGAAGAGATCCATACCGAGCCGTTCCCATGGGCGTGAAGGGAAAGAACTCGACATGAGTGGTTCTTTCTGGTCTTGTCTCACCTTTGCACAAGTATTACACTTAGAAATCATCTCTTGAATAGCAGTTGACAGTCCAGGCCACCAGACTGAGTCACGTGCTCTTGCTCTACACTTAGTTATCCCTAGGTGACCAGTGTGGATGCAGTCAGGGATATCCAACCTCAGGGCTCTCGGAATACCAATTCGATTGTCATATAACAAGATCTCATCCACAACTGCTAGGTGGCTCTGTGCCTCCCAGTATGGTCGCATTAGCGGCTGGTGGGGCCTATAGGTAGGCCAACCATTTACACAATACTTGTGGATTAGAGAACATTCTTCATCTGCTTTCTGAGCTGCCCGTATTTCCTGCAAGCCGTTTGTAGTTACAGGTAATGTACCCAACATCTCGTTTGTATAGCTCTCTACTTCCTCTACAAGATTGTGATCGTCTCCATCCGGTTTACCAACAGGAGCGCGAGACAGTGCATCTGCGGCAAGCTGTTGCTTTCCAGGGACATGGACGACGTGTGGGTTAAACCTCATGAGTCGCAACCAAAACCTCAGTATGCGTGGAGGCATCTTGCTCAACTCAGTTGTGTTGAACAGTGTTGTGAGAGGTTTGTGATCTGTCTCTAACGTAAACTGCAATCCGGTGATGTAATCCGAGAACCTCTCACAGACCCAGGTCGCTGCTAGGGCTTCTTTCTCGATGACTGCGTACCGCTTCTCTGTTTCTGATAGAGTGCGAGAAGCATAATAGACGGGACGACGGTCCCCGTCCTCCTGAATCTGGATAAGCACTGCTCCAACTCTGATAGAAGAGGCATCAGCAGCGACTATGGTTTCCTTTCGAGGATCATAGCGAGCCAGAACTTCCGAATACATCAGGACTTCTTTGTGTTAATAATATAAGAGAGAACTTTCACCTTTGGAAATTTAAAATGCAAATGGTCCTTGAAGATAAGGATCTTTGGGGCATTGTTAAAGGCGACGAGGTAGAACCTACAGACGAAGGAACTACTGAAACTCAGCGTCGGCAATTTCAAAGGCGGGAAAGAAAAGCGTTCGCTACGATTTGTTTATCTTTGGGAGATGAACAGTTGTCTTTGGTTCGCTCAGCTACAACAGCAAAGGATGCATGGTCAAAATTGGAAGGCCATTATGAAGTGAAGTCCTTGGCAAATAAATTATTCTTGCGTAAAAAGTATTTTACTATGTCTATGGGGGTTGATGAGTCAATGAGTGAACACATCAACAAGATGAAAGAGCTAGCAGGTCAATTGGAAGCTGTTGGTGCCTCGATCACAGAAGAGGACCAAGTTGCAACGCTATTGTGTAGTCTACCTGATTCATATGATAGTTTAATTACAGCTTTAGAATCCCGTGCTGGTGATTTATCTTTGGAATTTGTTACTGCAAGGTTACTTCATGAGGAACACAAGCGAAAAGAGACAATACCAACCTCTGATTGTGGAGAGAAAGCTCTGTTATCAACAAAGTATGATCAAGTAAATCTAAGAAACCCGAAACCTAAGAGAAAGGGTAAATGTCATAACTGCGGAATACCAGGACATTGGGCAAGAGAATGCCGTAAACCGAAGAGGGGCGGATCGGGTGAAGTAAAAGGAAAGAAAGACAGTTCATCGTGCAGTGCAACTACAGAACATGCATCATTTTGGTCATCAAAACATGTGAATTGCAAGGATTCAACATGGTACATTGACTCGGGTGCTTCACAGCACATGTCATATGATAAGGAAATGATGGTTGATTATGTTCATTTTGTAAACCCACAAAGAGTTCGTTTGGGTGATAATCGAGTAGTCGAAGCATTGGGAAAAGGAACAGTCTGGCTTAATATTAAAGCTGAAAATGATTATAAACCGGCTAGATTGGTTGACGTCCTATATGTTCCAGATTTAGCAAAGAATCTCTTCTCGGTAAGCGTTGTTGCTAAGCGAGGATATTCAGTTGAGCTTCAACAGAGTGGCTGTGTTATTCTTGATAAATGTGGAACTATTTTGGGATCTGGTAAAATGCAAAACAATCTATATGTCCTTGATATCAGTGAAAAGAAAGTGGACTGTCATGATGTTAATGCTGCTACCAATGAGCATCTGGAG